CCCTGTTCCAACACTTGCCTGGCCTCACAGAATTCTACCCCACACACACCCCACCCACTCCACCCACCCCACCCCCGATATCAAGTTGGAACATCTCATTTCCATTTCTGAGCCTGACCATACAACCATCAATTATAAAACTAGCTCAAATGTAAACTCCTCATTGTGGATGTTTAAAGCTAGATAAAAAGAAACCCATACCTGAAGTAAAAAATTATGATTGTGATGAGTTTTTAAGTAAAATAAATATAATGGGGGGAAGAAAGGTAAAACTAATTTTCCCTTTTAAATCTGAAACGCTTAACAATATTTTAGGAAGTTGCATTCTAACCTGCTATCATGTTCAAATAGTTTAATATTAGCTAATTGCTTTTATTTTGTCACTTTGGAAAGAAAAATAGTTTAATTCCAGTACCATGAACACAACTGGTAGCATAAGTAGCAGCACTAACACTTACTTGAGTTGTCCTTCTGCTGTGTCTGGATTATGCCTGTAGTGAAAGTCTGTGTAAGGAGCTAAAATTCGCTAAACAGAAGGGAGACATGCATTACTTTCACACGAGAATAGTTAACAGGTCTTGCCCTTTCCTCAGTCCCACTCCAATCTGTCATGTTATTCCTGCTTAATCATTAAGCTCTTAGCCTAAAATGTTGCATTTAAACATTTTGCACTAATACAGAGGGTGAAATCTGAAGTGAAAATTAAACATTTTCATTAGTAATACGATGTTTAACTTCTGTCACTAAACAAGTAAAACTGAACTCACCTCTAACTCTACATCTGCTCGCACATACTGTCGGGTCTTTGGATGATTAATGAGGTGCAAAACTGTAGTTATCAGAGCCTCATTTATTCGACTTAGCTGACAATCAATCACATTTTTCAAGATGGTACTTAAACCACCCCGAAGAGCCACCACTTCGGGATTCTGAAGTGCTAAATAAAGAAAAACATGTCACTTCCAGCCAGTGATAGGAAAGAAAACATTTCATGACTTCCAATACAACAAACTTGTTGTCTGTTTAGTACATGTATCTTTTTCTTCCTGAACACTGCTGAGGCACACAATAAAGCTTTTAATAACTGACATTAGAAATAAATTGAGATTTTTGATTAATTTATCATCCACAAAAATACTGGTCAGTCAGTCACCATTGTGCAGCAATTTCCCAACTTATTTCCAACCAAGTTTCCATACAGTAGTGTCTGGATTTCCCTGCAAAAAGGTTTTGTGCTTCACTGGACCGACATGGAAAAAATATTTATACTAGAATATACATGAGTAACAGATTGTTTAGTTCTTTAAAACAGAAGCTTGTATCTTGAAAATGTTGCTGAAGTTATTTCTCATTGACTGATACAAAACTGAAAAAAAAACTTTTAAAATCAGCACCCACATACAAGTATAGGGCGTTAGTATAAATCACTGTCCAGATAGCCTTTACTGACTTCCAGAAGCCAGCTAACCACAGTACCCACTGAAAAAAAATTTTTAAAGGAAAATGCTTTGTACTTCTCTGAACACTTGTACATTTGTCAGCACATCATGTATGGAATTTTCCCTACTTCCAATCCATTAGTTTTAGAAACATCAACTGCAGCAGGGAAACATTTTTAAGGTAACACAAAAATTGGCAAGTCTTAAAGGAAAGTATAGTACCTGAAATCTTCAGGTACTTCACTTAAGAGACTTTGAATTTAAGTTAAAGTGATTTTGTTTTATATCAAACTAATGACTAAAATATATGAAAGGGACATTAAGAACATTTAACATCTGATTCATTAGTTATTAAACAAATACCCTTAATTATTTGAATACAATCTATTTAATATGAACCCACAGAAGAGAATCTCTTAGAAGACTGATGACAACCACATCAAAATTTTTCTTAATTACCTTTCAGTTATCTTACCTAGTTCACAGATAATGGCTATACACGCTCGAACCATTCTGTCTCTTTCTTGAAGACCATCATTTCCAACTGCTATCAAAGAATTAGTAATAGAACTGGGGAACAATGAAGCATTCACAGTGATCATCTGCCAGAAGTGAAAGAAAAAGCCCTCTGGTTTCTTCATAATATTTCTCTAAATATACTCACAGATTCACTTGCATTTTGTTTCCTAGATGCTACCAGACCACTCCGTATATTACTTGGTTGTATCTTGCAAATCCTCAAAACACTTTATTAAAAAAAAAAAAAAAAAAAAAAAATTTTTCCAAGAATTTCTTTATCGACAGAGAACACTATCCAATAACACAGAGTAGATTACAAACTCTTCTAGAAGATTCATTCATACTGCACCAGATATCTATCTTCAATACCTATTCAACTTTTTAATTAGCCAAGACTAAACTCTCTTGTTTTGTAGAGAGATCCTTAGGCTGCTGCAGACTACAAAAAAGGACAGTCAGCAAAAGAAGTTGCTATAGTATTTGGAAGGCAACTGTCAGCAACACCCCTATATCCTCTTGTATAGTACCTGATCTTCCTAAAACTGCAGTATAATACAACTTCATCATAAGTTATGTAACTATACGTCACAAAAAACACACACACTTTAAGCAGGTTAAACTTAAAAAGTTTTTAAATGTTTAGTGGATATCGAGCATTTTTTAACATCTCAATTTTATTTATTAGAAAAAAATGTGACGTGGTTGAGTTGGCTATAACAAATTATGTTGTTCCCTTTTTAAGCAGTCAGACAAAAAAAAAACTATTTCCCCTTAGTAATACATCTGTTTAACTTTAGTGATGTTCGTGTTCCACAGTATACAGAATATGTATATTTAATTTTAGCAAACTATGAAAAAATGTGAATAGAGAGCTACTCAGCCTTTGTAGTCAAAGTCTCTTGGGGGGGTGGGGGTGGAGTGGGTTTTTTTTTGCCTTTAATGTGAGCACAGGGTCTTGCTCCTTCATCTGGTATAAATTCTGCTTGTCCTAAACTAGCAGCTGAGGATGTCCATGGCACAGGAGCTCTTCAGTAGTGTAAAGGAGCATTGGCTGTTAAAATCTGTTCTCTATTCTGTCTCAAATTTATTGCAAATTGTTTTTCTTTTTAATTGAAGAATGACTAACCAAGGTTTAATTTAATAACCCTTGTTTCCAACAGAAGCAGGCTTATCTCCATTATTTTTCCAAAATTGTTTTGTCCTGTATTCATTTTACAGCTCCCTTAGATGTCTTACAGATATTTGTTCAAAGAGGATTACTTTTTTCCCCCCTCTTTGCAAAGAATATTAAAATGAGAAGATATCAACCATTAGGACAAATATATTTGAACGCTTCAACAAGTTTATTTTTAAGACATGTTTTGAGAAACTTCTTGTCATACATAATGTTGTCACCCATAAAACAAGCTTTAATATAGGACTCTAAATAAAACCCAAACTCTTCCCACCCACCCAGTCTTTCACTTTTACAATGGCATGAAGTAACAAGAATTAGGAATAGAATGGGTGTAACAATCTACTCCACAAAATTATAACCTTTTTTTCTACTGACATTGACATATACTTAAGTGTGAGGACACAAGCAGCCTCTTAAGGCTGTTTTGTTTTGTTGTTTTCTTTGGTTTTAAGACATGAGAAGGAAAGATTTCTTTCTTTTAATATTCAATTCCAAGTATTTTAGTAGAATCATAGAATCATTTAGGTTGGAAAAGACCCTTAAGATCAGAGTCCAACC